AAGGGCAAAAAAAAGCAGCATCTAATTGTCAGTGTCTGCTAGGTAACATCTGGTAGCCTAAGATTAAGTACAGAAATTCCTAGAAAACTAACGCACTGGATTTGATAGCCAGAATGTTAGAGGCTGATTTCCGCCTGAGCTAAATATTTTTATTCTTTACTCTAAATCTTTGATCAGATACAGCAGTTAGATATAAAAATGTTCAACAAGAACACATAGTAAATTGAAGGAAAGAGAATAGGACCCAGGAGTAGGCATGAAAGACAAACGAGGGAGAGAGAGGCAGGACTACTGTTTCCTCAGCCCTGAAAAACACGGACATTCAGAAGAATGTTTCCATGAAATATGTTTCTAGTTTTTCCTCTTCTGTCTCGTAAAGCAGAATTCTCCCAGTTATTTTTTGGAGAAAAAGTTATTCAACGTTAATCTGATTTAGATCTCGGCACTGCTCATGTAAGTCAGGATCCATTGACTGGTTCAGTGAACTAGTCAGCTTTATACAGATAAACCGAGAAAGGAATTTGGTCCCAGTTATAGATCTGAAGTCTTCCTGAAAGTAAGATATATGTTTGGAGGCTTATTTCCCCCTTCCACTTTTGTGACATCTTCACATTTATCAGTAACTCGCTTTTATTAGTTGTGAGTGTTATCGTATTTGGATGGTCGGGTAGTTCATTTCCTCGAAACCAAGCTCAACGCTAGCAGTACTGAGGGAACTAAGATTGCAAAGGGATAAAAGACTTCTTCCTTTAAAATAGTCTTCCTTTCTTAAAAGAAGTCTAATGCAAGGAAGGTCCTACAAGTTTAATCAATACAATATTACTGAAAACATCTTTCAAAATCCTTCAGCACTTTTCAGTATGTTCTCATTTTTACTGCTGTTCAAACCATCTATTTCAATATTCAAGTACTAAATTCTAGTAATAAAATAGTTTTGAATTATTTTTTTGGGAAAGATTAAGATTACTCTTTGACAAAACATTACATAATAATCCAAAGCTTGGGATTTTTTTGCTAGATCTTTGATTCTGCTTGTGTAATAGTTGGAATTTGTTTTCATGGCACAACAGATTTTGGATTTCTTCTTGGTATCTTTTATTAAAAGTACTAAAATAAGTGTCACAAAACCACATTGTCTGATTACATATTTTATTGATAGAGGTGAAAGCATCGTGGGGTGTGTGATTAATTTTCATATTAAGTAACACCATGTCAGGGTCTAGAAACTTTCTACTTTCCCCTTGTCAAAGAAAACACTTAAAGGTGACATTAAAATGAGAGAGAAAGGTGGATGTGTAAAAGAGCTGCTATGAATCTTGAAAGTGGTTTTCATGCCACCTTTTCTCCTTACATATCCTAGGGTTATAGGAAAGTGGCTAAGGCATCTCTCCATACTCCAGCATGCTCCAGTCGATAGAACAGCTTTTGTAGATGCTAGACAAGCAATTTTGTGATGCAGCCAGATAGTTCTGGACATACGTGGTTATAAGAAAGCTGCTTTAAGTCACTTTACCACCTTTGGAGCAGTGCTGAGCACAGCTTATATTCAGGCAGCAATGGTTTTAGTGCCCTCTTTCTTTTATGTTCTGTGGATTGCGTCTCCTGTTTGCTTTAGTTCTTTTTTATTATTCAATGTAGAGTTGAAGGTATGGCAAGTATTCCTGCCCTTGAGAATTACAGTGAACGAGAATGTTTTCTGTCCCTTTGCAAGCTACCTAAGGCTTAGGTATGGATCCCCAGAAGGAACAATGGATTATGTTCCTGCTTGTTCATCCTTAGAACTAACAAGTAGGGTCTGGATTTTGATTGCAGTTTTAATACTTTGTGGAATGTATTTGATGCAGATGTGTAGAAGCTTCTTCTTATTTTATGTTGAGGGACTGGCCATGATAGGTACTGCAAAAGGAACTACCAATTTGTTAAGACTGGGTCATGGTAACCCTCTCTACGCTGGAAGTCATTAGCTTGAATTGTGAATTGGCAGTGTAGTAGAGAGTTCTGGTGGAGTCCTCAGTTTAAAATCAAACTCTGGTATGAGGACACTGACAGTAGAGATCTGTAAAAGCAACGATGATTTGGAGAGAATGGAATAGGACAGCAGTTCATTGTCTCTTCTGGTGTCAGAGCTAGACAGCAGCAGATGAAACCAGCAGACTGACAGATGGTTGAAACAAAGCTACCTTCACATAATAGTTCACTACAGCGTGACATTTTTTTATAATGTATTGGAAATGTTCAACATTTATATGGGTTCAGGAAGTGATTGGCCAAATTCATGGAAGATGATTCTGAAAGCAAAGATTAATCTGCTCAGGATTCATTGTGCTATGATTTACCAGATGCTGGCGGAGCGTAGTGGGGATGTTTGCCCAGTTTTATACCCTTTCTTGGTGTCTGCTACTGGTTATTATTGAAAACAGAACACTAATAGCTGAGGACTTTCGATTTGACTTATTTCAGTATCTTTGCAAAATCAATGAATCATAGAGTTACAGAATATCCTGATTTGGAAGGGACTCACAAAGATAACCTAGTTCCACACAGGAGCCCCCAAAATCTAAACCCTATGTCTGAGAGCATTGTCTAAATGCTCCTTGAACTCTAGCAGCTTGTGGTCACGACTGCTGCCATGGGGAGCCTGTTCCAGTGCCCAAATTCCCCTATGGTGATGAAACTTCTCCTAATCCCCAATCTGACCCTCCACTGATGCAGTTCTTGCTGTTCACTCAGGTATGTAACTGTCACCAGAGAGCTGCCCCTCTGGTCCCCTCTTCAGGAGCCACCATAAGGCCTCTTCTTAGCTTCCTCTTCTCTGGTACCTCAACCGCTTCTCATACATCTTGCCCTTCAGACCCTTCACCTTCTTCATAGCCCTCCTTTAGATGCTCTCTGATAGTTTTATGTCCTTATGCTGTGTCACCCAAAACTGCACACTGTAATCGAGGTTTATGCATATTATCACTTTAAGGTTGCTGTTTGTATAGTATGTGTTAGGTACCACTCCTAGGTTGGCGTTATGCATGTGGTCTAAATGTATCTTTATTGAAATAATTAAAATACCTACAATCAAGTTGTGTTTTGTTAAGACTGTGTATTCTTATGTTGTGTTCATTGTATTTTATTTCTTGATAAATGTTATACTTATTTTTGTTTTCCATAATATAATGAACATGTTAGATTGGAGGATAATGAATTTTTATAAGTCAGTGATTATCTATATCTAAACCTACCAATGTGTGTTTTGATAGCTAAAAAGATAAAAGGAAAAAAGCATTTAATAAATTTGTAGTTTCTCTGGATGCAAAAAAGCAAAAGTCTGAATGGTAAAAAGGTTGATTGCCTGTATCACATAAATCCTCAAGTGTCCCACTCCTTTTATTTTGCTGTGTAACAGTTCTGAAAACAACTCAGAAGAACCGATACATGCTGCATTTTCTAGCGCAATTTAGAGTGCACACGTACATTTGGTGTTAGTTCTTTATCTTGCCCTACTTTTGTTTATTCCTATTTTAGCTTTTTAATTTGGAATTCAACTTCTTCAGCTTTGAAAGGTATTGAATATTTCACTGTGTCTCAGATTACTGTATTTTTAGACAAAATGGAAGCACAGTGTACTGTAGGTGCAGCCTGTACTGTATTGTCTTTCTTCCAAGTTATTCTCATGACATTGTGAAGACTAGGCACTGCATTTAGAGAGTCAGTGTTCTTTTTTAGCCTTCCTAGCGTGTGATTAAGTGGGAGTTGCTGCCTGTTGTACTATGAGTCGTGTGACAAAAACTAAACCTGTGACAGGTGCTACAGTATGTATATCAGAAAATTTGCTTCCCAAACACTAATTATTCTCAAAGTATTTTACTGCACACAAAGCACAGATAACAGAGTCAGCAAATTTATCTCAGTTTTATCATTGTGTTGTAAATTAGGGTTTGTCTCTTACCATTGTGTAAAGAGAAGATGGTGAAAATTCAAGTGCAGCAAAATCTATTGATCCACCACCTCTGTTATGTGGTGTTTTTTTTCCATTTAATTCTTCTAATCAAAATGCTGGAAATATATGTTATTCAAACAGTAACTGCTGAATTTCACTACTGCATATGAATGAGCTGTCGTCTAGTGACAGAACAAGGTAGGAAACAGTGTTGTTTCTCCAGGTGACTGTAAAAAAAATAGAAGCATGTTGTGCCTGAATAGCCCAGACTCAACTTGGTGATATGCTTCAACTATTAATTTTGGATGTTAATTTGTTATGATTATAGCTTATCAAACATATTTCTGGTTGCTGTGGGAGAAGAATGGACTCTCAGCCACAGGAACTGTTAATAAGTGAAAGCATTCAATTTTTATCCCTCTCAAACCTTCAGTTATATATGCAGTGAAAACATACCTGTGCTTTGTTCCAGCCAGCCCTTTTCCACTGTATCCTTCCACTGTGAAGGCGAAGAACCTTTGTGATAAAATGTTATATCCTACATTATCAACGTTAGGTATTTAGATGCTGAAGTACCAGAATCTCTCTATGTAAGAGTTTGCAGTTTTGATGATAACCTGTTGCTCAGTTAAGTCTTTTGCTACAACTCTAGCAATCATCAGAGTGAGCATATTGTTAATACTAGACACAGAATGTCTCCATCTCAAATAGTGATTGGAACTAAGTTTTAAAAGCTTCTCCTTTTCATTGTGACAATTGCCCAGGAATCCGTTCTGAGAACAGACAATTATTTAAAAAATGTATTCAAAATTGTTAATTTATAGAATGACTTACAAAGAAAAAGAAGAACATTGAATGTTGTAAATGAAATTCTTAGCAACAATTTTTGCATTGTAAACTAGCTTAAGAAACTGTTTATTTTCTCCCTTAGGATAAACATATTGTATATTTCTAGTTTTCTGACAAATGAAAACATTAATGTGATTTAACTTATACTAGCAGTGATTCATGGCTCTAGTTGTTTGGCTTGTGTATAGTAATACTGATTTGTATTTTTATTTTGTTTCTGTAGGACTATTTAACCATTCACAAGTATGGCAATGCAGCCAGAAATGATCTCTGGAACACACTGTCAAAGGTAAAATGCTTTAAACTATTGCACTGAGGATGAAGCAGGAATATACTGTGGTATTTCTCTTGGTAAGCTTAGGACTGAATAGAGCATAATGAGATCTTCAGACCCCAGAGCAAATTTAAAAATCGATGCAAAGAAATTCCATTAGAGTTAACAGAACAACACTGGCAACACTGAAATATGCTTTCTTCAGTATTTTAGTTCTTTATTACGTCAGAATATATTTCCTTGCTTGTGCTGTGTCACTGATGTGCAGTAAAAGCTAGTTTGTGGAACCTACTGTCATTGCGTTTAGTGGTAGCAGGGTGAGGCCCATAAGCTGGGAAGTGCGTGAAAATGTTGCACCTTGGCATTTACATCAGCTGTGTTTTTTATTTTTGTATGGAGCTATGATTGGTGTGAAAGAAAAAATTACTAAAGCTTTAAAGTTTACTCTAAACAAGTAACTATTTACTGTAATATTAGGCGTCCTGCAGAGGATTCTAGTTTGTACGTCCATGTTCCTTTTATTGATGCACCCACACTTGGTTTCTAGTCTCAGTTCCAGTATGTATTTAAGGGCAGAGCTTGAATTTCAAAAGAGGGAGCCAACCATGCCTAGATTACTTGCGTACAGAGCTACTCTGGACACCTCAAAAGAGAGACAGAGTGTAAGAGAATGTAGAGGACAGAAAGGAAGTTTGGGCACAAGTGCCAACTCAAGCCGTACATAAACATGGTTGTCTAGTAACTATTGACACCAAAACTAGCATCCAGCTGGAGTTTAAGACATGTATGTTTATCTAGATTAGCAGGTATCTATGAGTCTTCCAGCTACCACAAGAGATATCCATAGCTGCTCTGTCTCTACCAGTTCTGTGAAGATGCACTGAATACTGTAGGACATCTCAACTGACATTTGTTAAATAAGAACAACTAGAGTTCCAAAAGCCTACTCAATATGATCAGCAATATAATCAGCAAGGTATAGACAGTGATTCAATTGTCTAGCCACTAGATGATGAAACTGAACCACTAGGTGCTTTAAGATGAGCCCTGGTATCTTCCTCTGGTAAAGCCTTTGGGGAAATGCTGGGTAATGGGAGGGGAGGGGGATGATCATACTCTTGAAAGAGCAGAAGAACCCACAACTAATAGAACAAAAACAAGACTTCATTCTGGACCCTAAATACTAGGGTTACCTTGTATGCTTAATTCTATTGTTAAGCCTAATAATTACTTCTTTCTCACATATATAACCATGTTTGTTGTCAGCCTCTTTTTTTCTAATATTGCTTCTCCAGTTCAGAAGACTTCTTGCTGATTTCTGCTCATATTCGTCAGATGTTAATTCGTCTGTGATCAAGGGCTACTCAGCAGTTAGACATATTTCTGTCACTGCATAGCTACTGATGCCTGTCATTCTCATATCCAGACTCATCTCCCATGAAGCTATAGCATCTCTTTTTATTTCAGATGAAAGTCTAACTGTAAACCAACAGTTCATTGACATGCTCTATCAAATATGAACACGTTAATCCTACAGTGTAAAGACATACAGTTTTTGAAGGAGCTGGGGATATTGTTGTATGCATGGTCTCACTTTGGACAGGAGGGATAGTATTTTCAGATAAGGGCAGACATTTGATTTTCAGAACAGAGAAGCTATATATTTTCAGAAATCAAACACTTTGAAATGTGCCTTACTGCAAATACCCACACAAATGCTGTTAAAAATATGTGTTTTTTTTTAACATTGTTTGGTCAATAATATCTTCTGGAAATAGACAACCAGTACTTCTGTGGTGCTTGTAAACACCCTATAAAGTGGATTGTTTCTTCCTTTCCAGCAAAAGTGCTCTAATGATTTGTAAAAATGTTGACTTTTCTCTATGGAAGATTGCTTGATATTTAAGATACACAGACAGTGTTGGTGTAATTTTGCAGTTTGTGTATATTTACTGATTACAAACGTGGTTGTGTGCGTATGTGTGATATTTATGAAACCACTGAAGTTAATTATATTCATCTAGGATGAAAAAAAAAAAAAAAAAGTTTTACACGTTGGATTCCGGTTCTGCTTCAGCATACCAAAACTTTTCTTTTTTCTTGAAGGCTTTAAAAAGGGTTGGAAAATCTGTAAATATCCAGGAAGTAATGGATCAATGGACGCTACAGATGGGTTATCCTGTTATCACCATCTTGGGAAATGAAACTACGGACAATGTCATAGTAATCTCCCAAGAGCGTTTTGTTTATGATAGTGATACTAAAACCAAGGATTCTGGCCTTGGAGACAACAGGTACTTATATTTCTCAATGAATATCTTTTAAGAGTCTGTAGTACTTTACGTGCTTTTCGGTGTATTTTTGTAGAGTTGCCTCTGCAGGAAGCTGTGCTTTGCATGGAATTAGTAGCATGTTGTGGCACTTCCATTTGAATTTTATTGAAGATTAGACTAGTTAAAAGAATTGACCAAAATCATTAGAGTGATAGAACAAGATAAAGCTTTAATGTGTCCATTTGCATTCTGACAGCTCTATTTCTGACTTCTATGCTGTCTTATGTCATGCTTCTGTTTCCTCTTCATCTTTTTTGATTTTGTCACACTTCATGAAGTAACTTGGAATATGGTTGGAAGGTTCGATATTTTTTTAGGAATTGCTTGGATTAGACTTCCTCCATGCTTCTAGGTTAAGTAGGAGATGTTACCACATATTGGCTAGGTATATCACTTGACCTGGAAAGCATCAAGAACTGTACTGGACTGCTATACATGACAGGGAGTTCCAGTTGTTCCAATTTTTAAATCAGCAGGTTTGCAGGTACACTGACCAAAATCAAGAAGCACTGACACATCTCCACCTCTGTCCTTTTTTGACTTCTCATATTGATTCCTTGCCAATCTCAGGTGACTCCACCCCATTCCTTTGTCCCAGGAACAAACTGATGTTCCTTGATCACACTGGGGAATCCTCGTCTTGTTCAAAGCAATTCTGCTGTGATATTTTAGTGCCAAGCAGTTAGAGCTGTTTGTAGGGAATTACAATTCATCCTTAGAAGCTTCCACATTCACTGCTTCTTGCTTAGTGTGAAAGAAGGCATACTCTGAACCTTGAGTTCTCCATGTTTGTCCCATAGATTTAAATCATTAATACTGAATTTTGCTTGATGCATCTGAAGTTTATAGAATATTCCTGGCTAAAAATATAAAATATAATTACATATACTGGGAAATATTTATAACTAACTCATTATCTTTTTATAAAACAAATACTGTAGAACTCAAACATGACACAGGTTTTTTTTTTGTTTTTTTTTTTTCCTGGCTGCATTGGAACAATCTAGTATGGTATTAAGTATTTAATTTCTGCACCCATGTATTTCCATATAAAATATTAGTGGATTTATTACTCAGAAAACAGATACTAATATTTTTTGATTGCTTAAAACAGAGATGTTAAGCCTTCTAAATATTGTGGAGATGTTAAACAGATTTGTCGGGTAGTCAGCATTGATTGTATTAACTGCTACTGTAATTCATGAGTAAAGACTACTGGGCATGAAAACATTTTGTACGGTAGAATATTAGGAGTGAGAAGTAGACTCCTAATAGTTTTATTTTCACACACAACATTAATTCAGAATTCATAGAATCACAGAATTGCAGGGGTTGAAGGCACCTCTAGAGATCATTGAGTGCAATTCCCCAATAAAGCTGGTTCCCTACAGTGGATTGTACAGGTAAGCATCCAGATGGGTCTTAAATACCTCCAAAGAAAGAGACTCCAGAACCTCTTCGGGCAACCTGTTCCAGCGCTCTGTCACCCTCACTGTAAAGAAATTCTCCCGTGTATTTGTGTGGATATTCCTATGTTCAAGTTTTTGGTCATTATACCTTGTCCTATCACTACACGGCACTGAAAACTCTGGCCTCATCAGATTATCCCCCGCACTTTAGATATGTATAAATATTTATCAGATCCCCTTTCAGTTTTCTTTTCTCCATGCTGAACAGACCCAGGTCTCTCAGCCTTTCTTCATATGAGAGATGCTTCAGGCCCTTTATCATTTTTGTGGCCCTCCACTAGACTCCTTCTAGGAGATCCCTATCTTTTTTTGAATTGAGAAGCCCAGAACTCTGCACAGTATTCCAGTGGCCTTACCAGAGCAGAGTAGAGGGGGAGGACCACCTCCCTCCATCTGCTGGCTACACTCTTTTTAATGCATTCCAAGATACCACTGGTCTTTTTGGCCACAATGGGACACTGCTGGCTAATGACCAGCCTGTTATCCACCAGGACCCCATGTCCTTCTCTGCAGACTACCTGTCCAGCAAGTCATTCTCTAACCTGTACTGGTGCATGTGGTTGTTCCTCTCTAGGTTCAGGCCTCTTCACTTGCTTTGTTGAACTCATAAGATTCCTCTCTGCTCAACTCTCCAGACTCTTTAGGTCCTGTTGAATAGCAGCACAGCCTGCTGGCATGTCAGCCACTCCTCCCAGCTTTGTATCATCAGCAAAATGGCTGAGAGTGGACTCCATCCCATCATCCAGGTCCTTGATGAAAAAGTTGAACAAGACTGGACCCAGCACCAACCCCTTGGGCGCACCACTAGGTACAGGTCTTCAACTAGGCTATGCCACTGATCACAACTCTCTGAGCTATGCCAGTCAACTAGCCAGTCAATGGTGACTCAGCAGAACAGGCCGCAATACTGACCCCTGGGGAACACCACTGGTGAGCAGTTGTCAGCTGGATTTAACTCCATGCACTACCACTCTCTGGGCCTGGTCATCCAGCCAGTTCCTTACCCAGCAAAGAGTGCACCTGTCCAAGTCATGGTCTGCCAGCTTTTCTAGGAGAGTACTGGGGAGGGCAATGTCAAAGGCTTTGCTGAAGTCTAGGTAGCCTGTCACCAACCTGTCCTTCCCTAAAAAGGATGTGGCCATCGTGACAGCATTCTAGTCATGCTTTCCCACCATATCTCCATGATCACAAGATCATGGCTCTGTGATTGCACACATCTCTAAATCTTCCTGTTCATTTCTCATGCTGTGTGCATTAGTATACAGGCACTTTAGGGAAGAGAGTACAGGTGTCCCTAGAGGGATACTAGAAGATTTCATGTAGGCATACTCACTCTTGGGGTAGATGGCCTTCTGGCTTTTGTCATTAGAGGCAGCTAAGAAACATTTGTTACTGTTGTCTTGGCTCATTCCTCAGTCTGTTGCAATGGCATTGCTGTTACGTACCCTGCCTCTCAATTCCTTCAGTTTAAAGCACGCTTCACTAAGTTAGTCAGCCCGTTCTCATAAATTGCCATTTGCCTTCTAGACAGGCTGATTCCATCCTCCCTAACAGTATATAATCTTCGTAGAAGGTTCCATTATCATAAAACCCCAAACCTTTACGATGGCACCAGCCACATAGGTAGGACTTATGTGTATTATGCATCTATTCCTGGCTTCCCTCCTTCTTCCGACTGGTAAAATGGAGGAGAAGATAACCTGTGCTCCAGTGTTTTTCAGTTGCCCTCCCAGGGCTTTATAGTCCTCTTTGATTCTTCTCACATTCTGCCTTCCAGCACTGTTTGTACCTACATGGAACAGCAACAGGGGATAGTAGTCTGTGCTCTTGGTGAACTGTGGCACCCTTTCATCAGTGTTTCGAATCTTGGTTCCGGGAGGCAGTAGACATCTTGAGACTACTATCAGGCTGGCAGAGGGGAACCTTGGTCACTTTTAAAAGTGACCCACCACAAGCACCTGGCACTTCTTTTTATGAAACTTCAATCCATTATTTGGAGATAATGTGGATGGGTAGTGTTCTGCACCAACAGAGAAAAATATGCTGAGTTTCTTAAGTGATTTTGCATAAACATTTTACTATAATTGTAAGTTCTAAACAATGTGAAATTCTGTTCAATGTAGAGCACAGAAAAAGAAGGTATCAGAATGGGCTCTGTCAGGAGTTTATTGTCCAAATAGACAATACAGTACATACGTGTATCTTCTTTGGCAAGTCTGTTTACTGTCTTCTTCCTACTGTCTCAAATTTGTTTTTCTCTGTGCTTCCATGGTATTGTAACCTCAAATGAGAGAGGTCCCTAGCATAGGGAAGGCTTTGCAGATGAAATGTTTACTCCAGAAAGTTAAATGACGGAGCTAGTTTGCTACCTCCCAGTTAGTTATTTGAAAGTCATTTTATGTAAACATAAATAGCAAAGAGTGGGAGCCATATGCTTTTAGCAAAAGATGAAACTTTCCTATTCCATTCATCTTTCAAAAAGTCACTCACCATTTTATATTAAAGTCCTATGACTTAGTTATAAATAAGAGTCTAAGGTGTGAGAAAAATGAGCTTACCATTCACTGCTGTGCATGAGATTTGATATGCACAACGCCCTCATGTCATTAAATGTCCTTTCCTGCCATTGAATTAAGTAGAAAAGCAAGATTGACAGACTGAAAATAAATTTAATCTTTCTGTCAGCAGTTCTTTTTGTTGTTGTTGTTCTTTTTTTTTTTTTTTTTTTCATTGAAAAAGTCACTTTTTTTCAATTCTTGTGAAACTGGTAGATAGGGAAAATCACACTAATGGGATGTCATTTGATAATTCATGATATATTGCTCCCGTTGTTTTTTTGACTTTGCAAGAAGTGGATCTTGTGTGAAATGATAAAAGGGGCTAGTTTTTCTGCAAATACACAATGTGGGGCAATAACTGGAATTGAAGAAATACTCTGAAAGACACTTGGAGCAGTGTCCTGAGTCTGCTGGTCATTATGGCCAGGGAATTGCAAGGGTTTGCTGGAACCAGATATCTCAGATAGGTCTTATGGGAGGCACAGAAATGTACATAACATGAGGCTGAAGGCTTGGGGGTTATGTGTCAGTAGCCTATCTCTCAGTGCAGTAAAGTCAGTGTTCAGACTCCTTGTGTGACCTATGAATTCAGTCTTAGATGGATGGCTTCCTGGGAAACCATAACAGTCACTACAAACAGTGGGGAGCAGATTGCATTTATGCCATATTTGGGGCTCTGTTCTTGCAGAGCACGTGACATTGACTTTGTTAGGATAGTTTGTCTCTCAATTAATCATGATTATGATTTTAAACACTGTAAATAGTAGGACTGTACAAAACACAGCAAAATGTACTGGTTCAAGCCCTTTCCAGGAGTTTACCATCTAAATACACAACACAGTATATACTGGAAGGCTCAAGGGAAGGCTCTTAAAGCATATATCTGCCTCACAGTCATAAATTATCCAGAGGTGGGGCTGTAGTTTAGCATGGC